AGGTTCAATAAGCTTATTAAAATCCCTCGTGTGTGATTATGATTGAATGTCGGATAATTTCATTACATATGGGATTTCTGACTATCAGGTCCAGCCTTTTAAAATATTCAAGCTGTCCTTTGATTGAGGCACTTCTCTTGCCAGTAGAAACTACATACATCATCCCTCACGTTGAAAGAGCATCCAGACTGCATTTAGTCAAGTATTGTCCTACTAACCCTACTTCTTTCTCATCTAGAGCAATGGAGATTAATAAGGAGATAACGGTCATCAAGATAAGCACCAATTGACTGTCTCCACAACGTCAATGTTTTCCAAGAAGTTATGCATAACCCGTGATTTAGAATAATTTGATTATATAATATGCAATACCAATGAAGGGCAGCTAGTTGTTATTCTCTACTTCGACTTTACTAAAGCGTTTGATAAAGGACAACAAGATTATTTTAATTAATGTCTCGATATCGTAGATAAGTTACGATTAACGGTTTATCGTCAATAGTCTTTGATGGAGTTTCATTCTCTAGGCTGGATGGTTTCCTCGTGGAACTCTCATCGTTCTTCTAAACGACATCATCACCACTTCTAAGTGAAATGTGTGCTGATTCAATTCAATTCAACGCAGTTGCTAGTAAAGTATCATGGGAAGCTTGAGTTTAACTTTTACATTTCTTAACACAAATTTTAAAGGAAAGTAATGTGTATTATGCGACAGTTTGAAAGACTAAATGATCGCTGTTAACAAATTTCAACGGCGTTTCAGAATCTCATATGAACCAATACAATCAAATTAAGTCATTTGTGAATTGGAAATAATCTAACGAAATAATTCCAATTCTGACAAGTCTACAATTTCGAAAGTCACAAGCACGTACTCAAATCTGATGTATCCACAATGTGATTATATTGTATAAATAAATGAGATTTAAACACAATATAAAATGTTTCGTTCTACAGTGAGTGTTTTAGGTATTCACCACATTATTGTGATGATCCCGGCAATTAATAAATATAGTGTTAGCATATCAGAGTGATTCGTGACAAACTGAATTTCAAATGTAGTTTATAGTGGTCTATCGACTTTTTCAACGAGTTTAAACCAGTTTCCTATTTATTCATCACATGATCAATATTCATAGATATTAGTCCGACTATCATTTGAATGACCATAACTGTGATATTTTAAAACTCTCACTCTTTTTAAATGACGTTTTGCGTACTCAGTGATTTGGACGAATTTTCGGCTTGAATGAATTTGTCTTGATCGATCATCGAGTTTCACATTATTTGCTTAGTTCGTTGGGACTGGTACAGCCTTACTCGTATGAACATTTCACCTAGAACACTTACTCGCTCACTCCCCTGCTCCGTTCTGCCATCGGTTTTGCCAGTGCGTGCATGTAGTTTAGAGCAATATACAAAAAACGAGGATGGCTAAGCAATTAAACTGATGGAATGGACAAGTACATTGAATAACTTTACAAAACATAAGGGAGATTCAAATATACTGATAAATGATTTGAATGTAATGGATTCATACAAATACACAATTATATGACATATCACAAAGAACACATTCACAGATAGCTACATGCTTAAAATTGACTCAATCTACTTATAATTAGCGAGCAATATAGTGCGATACACATAAAACGAGGTTGATTAAAAAACACTAAAGCAGATCTAATTGATAAGTAAACGGAAGGAATTTACAAAACATAAGAAATAAACAAATAATTGCCATACTTTTGTATCTTCCCCTAACGTAAGGAGGGAAGGCGATGTCTGAAGCTCAGCACAACTGAGAGACAATATACCACATATAGATTGATCAAACGGTGTTAGAGAAATGTATTATGAGCAAAACACTTATTCCGCCAAACCATATGAGTGACTACTCCAATATAAACTGTGAGAATGAATAAACTATTTACTCTAATATAAACTGTGGTATTGAGTGAAATGTCTCTTCACAATAGAATGAAATAGCTTAAAACACATTAATAAAGTCAGATAAACCCGAGTTACATAACACACGTAACGCTCAAAACTGTATTCATCAAATATATCTTGTGCTACTTACCAAATTGTTAGAATGAATAAACTGCTCATTGACCATAATGTGAAATATGTTAAAATACAGTATTACAGATAGTTTAACCTGAGGTACCCAACAGACTTGACACACAAAACTGTATTAAGTAAACAAACTCTAACCAGAAATAATTATTCAAACCATTTTAACTCTGCCCTGGGAATCAGGTCTTCATCTAGAAGAACCATAACGCTTCATGATGAAATCTGGGTCTCTTTTGAAGATCACGAAGCGGATGCCCCTTCTGACAACCGGCGCAACCAATTATTCAAGTAAATCGAATGCTCGTACAATGTGGGAGACAGGGAGAGTATTCTAAATGGCTGTGGAAATGAGAAGACACAACCTAGAGGTGCTTAGGATCAATGAAACACATCTGATGCAAGTTGGACAACAACGACTAGCTTCAGGAGAGCTTCTGTTATACTCCGGCCATGAAGAAGAAAATGCCCCACATACACGAGGAGTTGCACTGATGCTGTCTAAACAAGCACAAAATGCACGAATAGTATGCGAATCTCATAGAACAAAGACCATCAAAGCCTCCTTCAAAACAAAGAAAGTGGGCACTACAATGAACGTCATCCAATGGTATGCGCCTACAAGCGACTACAATGAGGACGTTAAAGATCATTTCGACGATAGGCTGCGGTCAATCGTCGAGAAGTGCCTAACAAAAAACCTGACCATCCTGATGGGAGATCTAAATGCCAAGTTTGAGATGGACATCACCGGATATGAAGACATCGTGGGACGACACGTACTGAGAGAAAGGAACGACAATGGAGAGATATTTGTAAACCTATGTGCCTTCAATAAACTGGTCATAGGCGGCACTATTTTTCCACATAAACGCATTCACAAAACCACATGGACCTCACCGAAGTACTGCAAAACGGGGAGGGCAATATCAAAAGGTTTCAATACGGCTTCACTTCGTGGTACTGATAAACGCAGCAAATTCAAGATAGTCCTCAGCAGTAAGTTCCAGGCCTTGCATGATCTACTCAATGAAGAAGAAACCACTATGGAGAGCAAATGGAAAGGAAACAAAGAGGTAATCACTTCAACATGCCATGAGGTTCTGAGCCACAAGAAGCATCATCACAAGTAATGGATCACTGTTGGTATACTGGATAAGATTCAAAAAAGGAGGAACAAGAAGGCAGCAATGAATACCAACCGAAAAAAGCAGAAAAAGTCAAGGCACAAGCTGAATACACAGAGTGTAACAAGCAAATGAAGAGTAGCATCTAGGATGCCACTGGACGATCTAGAATTCGCAGATGATCTGGCCCTACTATCGCAATCGCAACTACAAATGCAGGAGAAAACGACCAGCGTAGCAGCAGCCTAAGTAGAAGTAGGTCTCAACATAAAAAAAGGGAGAAGCAAGATTCTCCCATGCAACACAGCATGCACCAATCAAATCACGCTTGACGGAAAAGCTATGTAGGGTGTAAAATACTTCACATATCTGGACAGCATTATTGATTACCACGGTGGGTCTGATTCAGGATTCCGAGCTGGCGGTTAACTCAAGACTCAGGTTGATTCCCACAATTTATGTCCTATCGACCTATAGAATCTTGTCCCGATTTACTTCTGGGCGATGGATTAATTTGTTCTAAACATCAATAGACTGTCCCTGATGATATAGGAACAACGAATCAAGAGTGTCACGATCACACGATTGTTTATAAATACGTGTGCCTGTTTTTCATGTCGGCCGAAGTTATTCTTCCAGTTTCGACTCCGTAATTTACAAAAATTTCGACGTGCGTATTGAAGTTTCTGATTATGATGTTGAATGACCGTTGGTTTGACTCTCCAAGCCATTTTAATGGATTATTAACAACATAAAGAAGTAAATAATTACGGCTACACTTATTTGTAAGAATAATTGAAATTCACTTCATAAGATTCAATAGCATTTTGACGAGGTATTTAGGTGTATGCCAGAATAAATGTACTCAGTGAAAATGATCATTGTGTAGAATTATCTTTCATCCAAAATGATTGAATACTCAGTTTAGGAAGATAGATCATTATCAATAAGTGAAAACAAAAAGAAACAACGATCGAAACCATTTATCTTGTCGTCTGTCACGTTGCTCCTAAGCAACAAACTAACTGAGATATTATGAATCAATATGAACACAAGAACCAAGATCGCTAACACGAATACCTGAGAGACGACAAGAATCCTGATGAGATATTGTAAATATATTAGTTAGATAATTTGGGTTACGTTGTTTCTGTGTGATGTATAACTCAAATTGATCAAATTTGTGATAGAATGAAGCTACGAATCGATTTCTCATTGAGATATTTCAATAAATATTGGTGGTCCGTTTGTAGTGTCATCTAAGCGCGTATTTTTAGTTCTGGCTGTCTGGGTCAAATACCTTAGTATTTTTCAGTTTTAATGGCGAAAAGATTCCAACTTAATCGGTTTAACCTGACATCGTTTATTCTCTCTTTGAAGTTACCGTGATTTGTTAAACAACTAGTCTGGTTCAACCGTTATTCTTCACATATAAATATCTCAACAAGCGATTGTGCAGTCAGACATTCATTTTTAATGTGGTATGCCGATAGATATCACAGAGATAGTGAATGTTCTTATTTTGTCTTTTTGTCTGGTTATTTTCATTCTCCACTCTCAGGAACAAGTGTCAGTGAACTAACACCTCTCCCTGTGAATTAGACATTATACAGATGAACGGTTATCATGGGTAAACGTGTTTAACCATTTGATTCGTGTGTAGTGTTTCTTCGTTTACAAAGATAGTTTGAAATAAGTTCCGTTAATCGGTAAAAGTAGAATGATGTAACTGAAATATAACATTGTTTTGCTTTGATCCCTGTTTATTTGTTTCTTAATTCATATATCCTTTTACAGTTGAAATTATGTCGAAAACTCCATCATCAATATCAGTTATTGTTACTGGTCTACCAAGAACCGGAACGACCAGTATGAAAAAGGCATTGGAAATAATTTACAATCAACCTTGTTATCATGGTTATGAACTTGTGACCAGAAAACAATGTGACATTGCTAAATGGCAAATGCTTATCGATGAAGTACGAACAACACGTTGCGAGGAGAAGATACATAAATGTTTGAGTGAAATGTTGGTTGGCTACCGATCTGTGGGTAATATCCAAGTGTGTTGGTTATACAAGGAATTGATGACTTTATACCCTGATGCAAAGGTGGGTTGAGAGTTCTTATTATGTGGATGATTATAATCTCTGGACTTCATTATTTCAAATTATTGATATCCCTGAAACTCTTATTTCTAACATGGATATATATCGCAACGTTTGAGAACAGGTGTCAAGTATCTGGTGTTTAGATATACTGTTACCACCTACTTCATTTACCTAGTGTTATAATAACAAGTACTGGGAAATTCAATTGCTTCGTTATTTGCAAACTATGCTTCGTACACCAATTCAACCAAAGTGTAACTTGTTAATAAAATTGATAGTGAGAACTTCCTGAATTGAAAAGTAATATTTTCGTCACTTTTCGAAAGCATCCTCGCTTTTTCCCTTATAATCACTGAAATTCAACCATAGCGCAATCTGTAACTATTGCGGATAATCAATATTGCTGATCTGTGTTGACATTATGGCTAAGTAAACGTTTTATGGAGAAAGACATAAGAACTGAGTGGCAGATGAACCACTGTACACGCCAGTTGATTGTGTGTAACTGACTAGTCTTAGCCAGTCGTCATTGACTTGGGTGATGTTATCACGAATGATCAATTGATCGGTCATACAAACTTGATCCTTAAAATAGACCAAAGTGATGTTTTGGTATATATCTTTGAATGACTTTTGAAATGTATTATTTCTATATCGATAATACTTTAATATACCATAAATCTCGTTTTATACAGGTTGTACTAACGGTTCGCGATAAAAACGATTGGTTGGCTAGTTTCCGACAAGTGGTCATGCCTAAATCAGATGATCCACGTAAATTACAAATGGATGAAGCGAAAAGACGTGCAAGAATCCCTGTTGAATTTGACAAACTTCTTACTGATTCATTGAAACTAGCATTTCAGAACGAAGATATTGATTTTGATGACGATGAAATGTTACTTGAATGTTACGAAAAACATAACAAAACTCTTCAGGAAAATATACCATCTGAACGTCTTTTGGTATATCATATTGGAGATGGTTGGGAACCATTGTGTAGATTCTTGAATGTGGATGTGCCAGCTAATATACCATTTCCCGAAACCAATCATCACGCTGACTTGGAAAAGCTAAGGGAATTGACGAAGAAATTAGGATCGATTGAAGAAGTCGCTAGAATTCATCCAGGAATTGTATAAAACTGAAGTATACACTGATTGTACTAAACATTGACGTTATTATTAACTAAGAAATAAATTGTTATCAAGCCTTGAATTCCACTTTCTCATTGACAACCATGGTAATATTGGTGATAAAAATATAGTCGGTATAATAAACTAAAATTTTGAATTTCTTAATAATTTTCTCACCATACTTAATGATGTACATCGAGAACAGTTTATTAATAACGGTCAAATAACTGAATGTAGAGATGAGGTGATTCAATAGACGATGAGAAAACGTAACTCAACTACGTTTAGGTTTATTGAAAAGAATGTAAAACGTATGGAACAATAATTTCACGAACCCTGTCCGAAAATCACTCACTCACAGATACGCTGAAGCGTATTTATTTGCTCAAAACGACTGGTATTCTCTGAAACCATTAGATCACGTTGTTTTAGAAGATATCAAGGTGTCTGATAATACTATATTGCCAGATAACAATATATTACATGATATATGCTAGTTTATAGCCAAGGTCAAGTTGCTACAAATGCTACCTGGTCTTACTGTATTAAGTTGCCCAATGACGTTGATATGTTGTAGTGGACATGAGCAGTATAAACGAAGGCTAAGTCTCCATATACGAAATAAAAATTTCACTATGGCTTATGAGTCCAATACGATGGCTGACGTGCTTTTAAAGAGCTACGTTGCGACGGCCAAGTGGTATACTTTATAATGCGTAATTCACAGTGAACGATGTTTCTACACTCACACTTAATAATGAGAGTGAAAAACAAAAATAACCAGACAAAAAGACCAAATAAGAACATTCATTATCTCTGTAATATCTATCGGCATACCACATTAAAAATGAATGTCTGACTGCACAATCGCTTGTTGAGATATTTATATGTGAAGAATAACGGTTGAACCAGACTAGTTGTTTAACAAATCACGGTAACTTCAAAGAGAGAATAAACGATGTCAGGTTAAACCGATTAAGTTGGAATCTTTTCGCCATTAAAACTGAAAAATACTAAGGTATTTGACCCAGACAGCCAGAACTAAACATACGCGCTTAGATGACACTACAAACGGACCACCAATATTTATTGAAATATCTCAATGAGAAATCGATTCGTAGCTTCATTCTATCACAAATTTGATCAATTTAAGTTATACATCACACAGAAACAACGTAATCCAAATTATCTAACTAATATATTTACAATATCTCATCAGGATTCTTGTCGTCTCTCAGGTATTCGTGTTAGCGATCTTGGTTCTTGTGTTCATATTGATTCATAATATCTCAGTTAGTTTGTTGCTTAGGAGCAACGTGACAGACGACAAGATAAATGGTTTCGATCGTTGTTTCTTTTTGTTTTCACTTATTGATAATGATCTATCTTCCTAAACTGAGTATTCAATCATTTTGGATGAAAGATAATTCTACACAATGATCATTTTCACTGAGTACATTTATTCTGGCATACACCTAAATACCTCGTCAAAATGCTATTGAATCTTATGAAGTGAATTTCAATTATTCTTACAAATAAGTGTAGCCGTAATTATTTACTTCTTTATGTTGTTAATAATCCATTAAAATGGCTTGGAGAGTCAAACCAACGGTCATTCAACATCATAATCAGAAACTTCAATACGCACGTCGAAATTTTTGTAAATTACGGAGTCGAAACTGGAAGAATAACTTCGGCCGACATGAAAAACAGGCACACGTACTTATAAACAATCGTGTGATCGTGACACTCTTGATTCGTTGTTCCTATATCATCAGGAACAGTCTATTGATGTTTAGAACAAATTAATCCATCGCCCAGAAGTAAATCGGGACAAGATTCTATAGGCCGATAGGAGATAAATTGTGGGAATCAACCTGAGTCTTGAGTTAACCGCCAGCTCGGAATCCTGAATCAGACCCACCGTGGTAATCAATAATGCTGTCCAGATATGTGAAGTATTTTACACCCTACATAGCTTTTCCGTCAAGCGTGATTTGATTGGTGCATGCTGTGTTGCATGGGAGAATCTTGCTTCTCCCTTTTTTTATGTTGAGACCTACTTCTACTTAGGCTGCTGCTACGCTGGTCGTTTTCTCCTGCATTTGTAGTTGCGATTGCGATAGTAGGGCCAGATCATCTGCGAATTCTAGATCGTCCAGTGGCATCCTAGATGCTACTCTTCATTTGCTTGTTACATTCTGTGTATTCAGCTTGTGCCTTGACTTTTTCTGCTTTTTTCGGCTGGTATTCATTGCTGCCTTCTTGTTCCTCCTTTTTTGAATCTTATCCAGTATACCAACAGTGATCCATTACTTGTGATGATGCTTCTTGTGGCTCAGAACCTCATGGCATGTTGAAGTGATTACCTCTTTGTTTCCTTTCCATTTGCTCTCCATAGTGGTTTCTTCTTCATTGAGTAGATCATGCAAGGCCTGGAACTTACTGCTGAGGACTATCTTGAATTTGCTGCGTTTATCAGTACCACGAAGTGAAGCCGTATTGAAACCTTTTGATATTGCCCTCCTCGTTTTGCAGTACTTCTTGAGTTTCAATTTAATCTTGGTGACCAGCAAGTGATAATCTGATGCTATACCAGATCCTCTCCTGGTTCTAACTTCCTCCATCTTCTTTCTGAACATTTTGTTGACGGCGATATGGTCGATTTGGTATCGCGTGGTGTGATTCGGTGAGGTCCATGTGGTTTTGTGAATGCGTTTATGTGGAAAAATAGTGCCGCCTATGACCAGTTTATTGAAGGCACATAGGTTTACAAATATCTCTCCATTGTCGTTCCTTTCTCTCAGTACGTGTCGTCCCACGATGTCTTCATATCCGGTGATGTCCATCTCAAACTTGGCATTTAGATCTCCCATCAGGATGGTCAGGTTTTTTGTTAGGCACTTCTCGACGATTGACTGCAGCCTATTGTTGAAATGATCTTTAACGTCCTCATTGTAGTCGCTTGTAGGCGCATACCATTGGATGACGTTCATTGTAGTGCCCACTTTCTTTGTTTTGAAGGAGGCTTTGATGGTCTTTGTTCTATGAGATTCGCATACTATTCGTGCATTTTGTGCTTGTTTGGACAGCATCAGTGCAACTCCTCGTGTATGTGGGGCATTTTCTTCATCATGGACGGAGTATAACAGAAGCTCTCCTGAAGCTAGTCGTTGTTGTCCAACTTGCATCTAATGTGTTTCATTGATCTCAAGCACCTCTAGGTTGTATCTTCTCATTTCCACAGCCATTTAGAAGACTCTCAAAGTCTCTCACATTGAACGAGCCTTCCGTGTTCCTAGATGATTGGTTGAACCTTTTATCAGAAGGAGCATCGGCCTTGTGACCTTCGAAGTAACTCGACTTTCATCATGAAACGTCGTAATTCTTCTACATGAAGACCTTCTTACTCTCAGGTTAGCGTTCGTTGGCGCTTTATTTTTCTACGTGATTAGTTCGCTAACGCCATGCCCAACCCAGATTTATCCGAACCTGGGACCGGCAGTTGCCCGCAGAGGGACTCTAGGCTGAGTTAAATACCACTCACGATATGTTTTGATTATTACAGTTTTGTGTGTCACGTCAGTTGGGTAACTCAGGTAAAACTCCTTGTAGTACTGTATTTTGACACATTTCACTTTATAGTCAATGAGCAGTTGATGCGTTCTCACACTTGGTTAAGTAGCACAAGATAAATTTACTGAATACAGTTTTTAGTGTTACGTGTGTTATGTAATTCAGGTTTATCTCCCGCCATTCATGTGTTTTAAGCTATTTCACTGAATAGTCAATAGACATTTCACTAATTATGACAGTTCATACTAGAGTAAGTAAGTTATTCATTCTCACAGTTTATATTGCAGTAGTCACTCATATGGTTTGGCGGAATAAGTGTTTTCCTCATAATACATTACTTTGACACCGTTTGATCAATCTATATGTGGTATATTGTTTCTCAGTTGTGCTGAGCTTCAGACATCGCCTTCCCTCCTTACGTTAGGGGAAGATACAAATATTGCAAATAATAAAGTATTTCTTATTTTTTGTAAATTCGTTCATTGTACTTATAAATTTGACCTGCATTTTGTTTAGTCAACCTCGTTTTGTGTGTATCATACCATATTACTCGCTTATTATAAGTAGATTGATTCAATTTTAAGCATGTAGCTATCTGTGATTATCTTCTTTGTGATAAGTCATATAATTGTGTATTTGTATGAATCCATTACATTCAAATCATTTATTAGTATTGTTATGAACGGGGAATTAAGAAGCCCAGACAATTACGATAGCTATTTTCTTGGGACGTTATTGCATTTCATTCAAAACCTGTAAAACACTTATATTTATTTTTGTCCCTATCTTATTCTATATAACACGAGCTTTCGTTCTATGTATCATTCACTAGCATACCCTTTTTTGTTCCAAAAATATTGTAATTTAAACATTATATTTTGCACTATATTTTCTACCCTAATTCCCTGTTTCGGGCATAACTGTATTTTTCCAAATTATCGTACGTCGTGGTCAAGATATTCACTTATTTATTCATGTACATTCTTGTAGTAATCCGAATTCAGAGAAACCGGAGTTCAGTGTTCCAACTGTCTTGTCTTCTTTCACTTGCGTGCCTGTCAACCAATCAGGATTTAGAATAGTTCTCTCTACCCCGATCGAACTCACGCCTATTAGACTCAAGGTTAAGCCACTCAGCCTAACGCGTCAAGGTCATAGTTCAGTCTAGGCAGATCAAGGTGAAGTCATAACAAGTATCACGGTGTAAAAGCGATTCAAGGTCATAACAAGTATATTTGAATCTCTCTAATGTTTTTGATGGGAACCTTATGTTTTGTAAAGTTATTCAATGTACTTGTTCATTCCATCAGTTTAATTGCTTAGCCATCCTCGTTTTTTGTATATTGCTCTAAACTACATGCACGCACTGGCAAAGCCGATGTCAGAACGGAGCAGGGGAATGAGCGAGTAAGCGTTCTAGGTGAAATGTTCATACGAGTAAGGCTGTACCAGTCACAACGAACTAAGCAAATAATGTGAAACTCGATGATCGATCAAGACAAATTCATTCAAGCCGAAAATTCGTCCAAATCACTGAGTACGCAACACGTCATTTAAAAA